TAACCAACAACAACGTCTCACCTTCCAACTTGCCGCCTTCGTCCAAGTTCCATCAGACCCTCGATCCCATACTGACAATGTCATATCACTAGAGCAAGTGGCCAAGCGTCGACCATGGTGATCAAATGCAACCTAAATATGAAGATCGGGATAATTTGCAGTACACATCATCCTGACAATCGTATAAGTCTCAGTGACGACATTTACCACCATTTACACCGAGAAACAGTAAAAGTGTCCGGCAGCGCGAGTTCGCAGCTCTCAGCGCTCATCTTTAAAGACCCCTCGCGATGACTGGATACCAAACAGATTGATAAAACTGCCAATTCCCTCACCTTTTATACTGCCTTATCCTAAATTTGTTTGACATTTTTCGTGAACTTTAGGAGCTCTGCACTCTCGTGACCAAAAACCGAACACCGGCCCCATACCCTACTTGTTGTGATCAATTACCTCTCTTGAGAACAGCTTATGAACCAACCTGATGAATGAGATCCCTATGAGACACATCAAAATCGAATGGTTTTGTCCGGTCATCCATTTCGCTTGAGGTGAAGTCCATAATTCACCTGTTATTCGTTTTCATTAGGTTCAATCCTCCCTAGCTGAACACCTTGCCGACAAACACGGTTGGCAAAGAGACTTCACCTCGACACAAAAAAGTAGAAGGTGACGAAAAAATTTTTAAATGTTGTGATCTTGCCAAGAGCACGATTTCGCAGCGGAGCGCGTCATGGTTGCATCCGATTAGTAAGGAACTCTGACGATGGAGTGGAACCGAACCGGTTTTTTTCCTTCTTTTCCAGGAAAGTGGAAGTTGAAAATGAGTTCAAAATAAAGCTAGGTCTATTTCAGTAAGAGAGGACATGGGATGCGACAGTTCGTGCAGCGAGCAGTAACTCCAATTTTTGCAGGGGAAGGAGATACCAGCGGCCGTAGGGTATGGTTCCCCTAACGGAGAGGTATCCCATCCTGGTAAGGCATGCTCTCCCCGAAAGCTCTCAGTCATGCGTTTTTTTCTAGTTTTTATGACCAAAACTATGCTTCAAAGATTTTTATATACAGTAACGAGAGAATTCCAAAAGTTATGAGTTGGAGCGCGATGGTTAGCGAAGTGTACTCTATTTCCACCGACGAGATGTGTCGCAGTTGCAGAATTAGTAGCACATTAGCATCAAACAGCATCAAGAGCATGAAAAAACACGCGTGCTACAGGTTCTCGAGGTTGTTGCCGCATCTGCAGTTATGAGTCTGCAATTGCGACACGTCTCACTGCAAAAAAATGTGCACTCTCCCCTTCAAAAAGTTGTGATTGCACTGAGCCGAGCCTTAAGTTCAGAGAAATATTGAATACACAACTCATCAAATAGAAAATGGACTGAATACACCAACTTCGTATAATGTATGCTATACGAAGTTTTGTTGCAGAGTATTCAGTAGCGTCAGTTGGAACGTTTTCTGGGGCACCGTTGTCATCATCGACAAATGCTGAGACGGGTATCTACAAGATACCCGTTGGTGGATTTGGTCGTATATGGATAATAGCAACAATAGTGAAAAAAGGACCGAAATGATGACATCATCGTGTACCTTAATATTATATACGTGAACGTCTCCTGCGGCAACTGCTAGCTGGTGAGAATGAGCAAGAGCTATGGGTGAAAATCGAAGATCGGTAACCGGAAATGCGAGATCAAGCCTTAGCGAAACGACCCGTTGCCACTTCCTGCAAAAAGGAAATGGTGATAAAAAGATCGAGAGTTTGGAATAGAAGAGGCCAAACAAAAAACACGGACAATGAGGAATGGAAGTGGGAAGGTGTCTAAGCTACTTCCAAAGACATGAGGCTCAAACTTTACGCCAGCGGAAAGGGTTTAAAATGCATGGCGACCACAATCAAAAAATTCTCTGGCAATTCACTTGCTCTCCGAAAGCGAAGCATTGAGAAACCACCACAATGCACGCTGTTGAAAAGCATTCAATGCTAATGTTGGACATCGCGAATGTTACGGATGGATAGGGAGCCCCTTCCTGCTACTTTACTCGATGGCATACCTCAAATTTTCATTATGCTCGTAAATCACTATCCTTTCGTCGTTTTCTGCACGCTTATCATCTGAAGCAACCGCCAAAAGAGGTCGATGTATTCGTGATCGACTCCATTCCACGCTTCCACACCTTGTATAGAATGCCTAAACATCATCAACCTACATCCAGAAAGAATACTATGGAAAACGGCGGGGAGATCGCGAATCACATATCTTCTCTTAGGATTGAAAGCAGGCTCTAATCTGGAAAGAACTATCGATGCTAAAAAGAAACAAGGTATACGCTAAAAAATTGAGCATTCTTAACTTTTTATAGATTTTGCAGGCCTAATTGCCACCAAATCTATCCTCGACGGAAAAAAATAGTCAGCGCCGAAAATGGTTAGAAAGCCATCACCAAAAAATTTCTCTAAAAAGGGTAGGAGAGAATGGCTCGTATGCCATACATTCGAAATGAAAATCCTTTTGAAGAAGATGCTTTCATGGAACGAGAAACCATTCGCTAACAAAGAATGGGCTATTGTGTTGCTTAGCAGGGTCCCTTGGTAGCGAGATAGGCACAGGCCCAAATACTTCTCAGTAGTACTTCTATTACTTCGTGCTTCTAAATCTTATTTCCAAAAGACTGGCGTGGACCAAGCATGAATTCGCTAGAACCCGAGTGGATCAAAGGTACCTGAAGTTCATGGCAGAGAGACCATCTGGACAGGTCCATCACATCTGCAGCTTCGTAAATACGAACAACACCTTGTGCAGATACCGTCGCCTAAGGCGTAAAATAAAATTTTCTATGATAAATTGTAAACAAAGACACGTTGCCTATTGAGAAATAATAAATTCCATCCTTCTCTAGTTTTTGCATTAAGCTCATTGATTCCCTCAAGAGTATCCTCTTAAAAAGTCCCACTCACCAAACATAAGACCAAGGGTCGTGGTCAAAGGCGATTCTGTTACGCTTCGATCGCACTATCAGTCAAATAGGCCTTCCGAACCCAGCGTGCTCCCTTTCGACCTTCTAAAAACAAAATATTCGATGAGAAAATGAAATTTTCAAAATTGAATGTCAAAAATTCTCGATCATTTTGCCTTTTCTTGACTTCGACGCTTTCTTGAAAACATATCGCTGACCTTTCATCTCCATAAAAGAGCGGAATAGAAAAGTACTACCTCAACATAATTCTAGAAACCCTAACCTGCCACCGGGACCACTTCGAATCTCCTCCCAAATGTGAACACTGCGATCATAAGAGCATGTGGCAAGCAGTTGTCCAAACTCAGGATGGGCCCAGACAACACGCCATACAGCACCTCCATGGACCTGAAAAGGGAACCTTGCGCTTAATCGAGGAAATTTAGGGAAGATTGAATTAAACGAGGTGAGAATAATTTTTGAGATAGAAATTCGAGACATTGGTGCTTCGATAAACCTTTCTTGTGATTCATTCTAGAGAAGAACGAACATGAAAATCACCAAGTAGGCCCTGTGATCGATAAGTCTTAGTGTTTACAAACATTCAGAGTTTAGTATCCCATGGCAAAAACGGAGGAGACTACAGGTATCTTGGCATCTATCCCCTTACTGGGGAAGTTACCCTTTCCTCCAGGACGGTGATTGTCCTGTGCCTGAAGTTACGTTAGTTCGATTACATGCCTTCCATTCTAGCAATTACTGCAATAATCAAGAATCACGTCTCACCTTCCAACTTGCCGCCTTCGTCCAAGTTCCATCAGACCCTCGATCCCATACTGACAATGTCATATCACTAGAGCAAGTGGCCAAGCGTCGACCATTTGAACTTGAGAGAAAAAAGGAATGAAGAATCTATGGCACCTACAATCCGCAACTATCTGGGACTCACGCATTAGGGAGCCCTTCTTTACGCATTGAGCTCTGCGGATAGACCGCTAGCAGTAGAAACTCGGCATATAATTTTGAGAGGAAAGTCTGGTATAAAACAATGCCGGTGACACCACACACTCTCTCTTTCAGAAAACCAGAAGCGTCGAGTGCAGACCACACACCACAAGTGACGACGGCCTCCACAAAATGTAAATGTTTTTGCCAATGAAATGATTAGCCTTTGTATTCTATCAGTTGTCACTAATTACAACTATCATTTACCAAAAATCAGCTATCACTATGAATCACTATTTACCAGATTTACTTGGAGGCCGTCGTCACTTGTGGTGTGTGGTCTGCACTCGACATGTTTCTGATTTTCTGAAACCAGAGGTAAATGTGAATTAATAACAGTAATAAAATAGGAAAGAAATTTGGGGCAACTTTCGTTTTTAGGTCTGCAGTAATCGAACGATATAATCAAAATGAAATAAAACAAATTAAATAGCTGGAAGATAAGAGAGGAAAAACCTGGGGAATTAAGAAAAGAAAAAAGAAAATTTCGTGACCCTAACGGCATCCATGACCATGTTTTTACGTCCATGGAAAACTTCATTAAAGAAACAAGACAAAAGATAATGGATGACATAGACACACGTGAAACAACGCGCTTAAATGAGGATGCACTCAGGGATAATACTCGTAGGTAATTTCGAAAGAGTTAAGAAATCAAAAATATCAATCGCGAAAAATGGTGAGAACAAAGATTGACGAATTATCACGGGTTTTTTTCGAAAAAATAGGACCTTGTGGCAATCTTGGAAATCGCTCAATAAGAGCAGATCAAATGAGCCATAGTCAACGTGAAAGTGAAACAGATCAATAGTAGGTCTTTCGGTGGAACATCTCTCCGTCACCTCGACCAGTCTCTGACAGTACACCTTTCATTTTCAACAGTTCACGCTCCTCCAGGTAGTCTTCCGATGACATCTCGGCCAGCAATGCCCATTGGTTTACGAACATCGCTGAGAGAGAAAAGTAACTGATAACGAGGTCATAAAAGGTCAAAAATCAAAATCTAGCCACCTTTCCACACCCGAATCGTGCCATCGCCGCTCGATGCCGTTAGCACCGTACCCGTCACATTGTACTTTATACGCCATGCATGACGCTCATCTCCGAGAACTGCGACCTGTACGGTGATGTGATCAGCCAAATCTCACTTCATCAATCAAAGCAAACACTTCAAAAATTGAGAGTTAAGAGTTAAAGAGATTCAAAGTTCCTAAGGATACAATTGAGAACAATTTTAGGCGCTTCTGTGATTGCAGGAGGCATTTTATTGCGATAATTCCCGTAGACTACATTAATACCGTGAACCAGTCCTCGTGTGCAAAAAAAAATAAAGTGACTATTGCTTCCCCACACATTTATAATAAAAGGAAAAGTTTGTGTGGTTCTGAATTTTTTGAGTAACTATACCATGATGCCGCCTCTCTCTCCCTCCCCTTTTAATTGAGAGAGAGCCTCATACTTGTCTGAGAGTGTAAAATACTGAGATTTACATCGGCTGGTCCCCATAAATGAATTTTTTGATGCACTTGAGCCAGTTTAACTTCAGAGAAATATTAATACACAACTTATAAATAGAAAATGGATTAATACACAACTTATAAATAGAAAATGGTCTAACCTTTGTTGCAGAGTATTCAGTAGCGTCAGTTGGAACGTTTTCTGGGGCACCGTTGTCATCATCGACAAATGCTGAGACGGGTATCTACAAGATACCCGTTGGTGGATTTGGTCGTATATGGATAATAGCAACAATAGTGAAAAAAGGACCGAAATGATGACATCATCGTGTACCTTGATATTATATACGTGAACGTCTCCTGCGGCAACTGCTAGCTGGTGAGAATGAGCAAGAGCTATGGGTGAAAATCGAAGATCGGTAACCGGAAATGCGAGATCAAGCCTTAGCGAAACGACACGTTGCCACTTCCTGCAAAAAGAAATTGGTGATAAAAAGATCGAGGTTTTGAATGAAGAGGCAAACAAAACATCGACCAATGAGGAATTAAGTAGGAAGATGTCTAAGCTAGTTCCAAAGACATGAGGCTCAAACTTCACGCCTGCGGAAAGGATTTGAAATGCATGGCGACCACAATCAAAAAATTCATACGACTGTCCCCAAAGTGAGCTATTGAGAAACCACCGCAATGCTACGCTGTTGAAAACATTCAATGCTGATGTTTACATCAGCGAATTACAGAGTGACTAGGAGCCCCTTCCTGCTACTTTACTCGATGGCATACCTCAAATTTTCATTATGCTCGTAAATCACTATCCTTTCGTCGTTTTCTGCACGCTTATCATCTGAAGCAACCGCCAAAAGAGGTCGATGTATTCGTGATCGACTCCATTCCACGCTCCCACACCTTGTATAGAATGCCTAAACATCATCAACCTACATCCAGAAAGAATACTATGGAAAACGGCGGGGAGATCGCGAATCACATATCTTCTCTTAGGATTGAAAGCAGGCCTAATCTGGAAAGAACTATCATGTCTAAGAAAACGACAAGTATACACCAAAAAATTGAGCATCTAACATTTATAGATTTTTGCAGCCTAATTGCCACCCAAATCTATCCTCGAGAAAATTTCAGCGCCGAAGATTTTTGAAGCCATCACCAAAAATTTCTCTAAAAAGGTAGAGAGATGGGCTCGTATGCCAACATTCGAAAATGAAAAATCCTTTGAAGAAGAGCTTTTGGAAAAGGAAACCATGCTAACAAAGAATGCATGTTCTTAGCAGGGATCTCCCTAAAAGCGAGATATGCACAGGCTTCAAATTATTTCTCAGTAGTACTTCTATTTCTTCGTGCTTCTAAATCTTATTTCCAAAAGACTGCGTGGACCAAGCATGAATTCGCTAGAACCCGAGTGGATCAAAGGTACCTGAAGTTCATGGCAGAGAGACCATCTGGACAGGTCCATCACATCTGCAGCTTCATAAATACGAACAACACCTTGCGCAGATACCGTCGCCTAAGCGTAAAATAAAATTTTTTGTGATAATTGTTAACTAAGACACGCCCTATTAGAAATTAATAAATTCATCCTTCTAGTTTGCATAAGCATGATTCCCCTCAAGAGTATCCTACTTAAAAAAAGTCGCCACTCACCAACATAAGACCAAGGTGTCGTGGTGCAAAGGCGATGTCTGTTACGTTCGCTCGACTATCAGTCAAATAGGCCTTCCGAACCCAGCGTGCTCCCTTTCGACCTTCTAAAAACAAAATATTCGGTGAGAAAATGAAAAGTCTTGAAATTCTCGATCATTTTGCCTTTTCTTGACTTCGACGCTTTCTTGAAAATATATCGCTGAC